CTCACTGTGGTTTGCTGGAGTCCCAAAGCTTTAGAAATGGCTTTATAACCTTTTCCAGACTGATAGATCTCAATTACTTTCTTTCTCATTTATTTCTGAATTTCTTTGGATCTCGGCATGATGTCTAGCTTTTGAGGATATTTTGGTCTACTTCACTTTGTCAGGCAGGTCCTATTTAAGACATTAAATATTGCGAACAGGTGTGGCAGTAATCAGGCCTGGGTGTGGCTAGAAAAATTTAACTCAGGTGGGATAAACGACAGTTTTAACAGGGGGGCAAACACTTCTTCACACAGGACCATGTAGTTTTGGATTTTGTTTTCCCTTAATAATAAAAACCTTCATTTAAAAACTGCATGTTGTGTTCACTTGTGTTATCTTTGACTAATATTTAAATTTGTTTGATGATCTGAATCTGACACACATGCAAAAAAATAAGAAATCAGGAAGGGGGCCAACACTTTTTCACACCACTGTATATAAAATACTGTTCCCTTTCAGTCGGTCACTCCGAGTCACGTCGGTGAGCGACGAATTGGGATCTCGCTTAGAGAGACCAATACACTTCGAGTGTAAATTAAAAGAAACAATGCACATTGGCATGCGATGATTGCATCCAGCTGCCACTGATCACAGTGTGCGCATAAAAAGACAGCTGGTGCAATGCATACCAGCTTTTCGCTTCCGAGCCAAGCGACAATATCGCTCTGCTCCTACCAAACTGCTTTTTGTGTGACGAGTTTAGCGCTCTCGGGAGCTTTTTGTGTTGGTGGACGGCGCTTCAGTGGTGGTCGTTCCTGTGTCAAGTGGGTTGCGCACTTAGGGTTGCACTACCCACTGTCGTGCTGCAAACGGCCGTTTCCCCTGTGCGTCTCAGCACGTAAAAGAGCATTTCCCTAAAATTTCAAATTTTCCCAATTTCTCTAAAAGAGTACAATAGGGGGACACGTACAATGGGCACGCAGTGTCGGGGGTATGGACGTGCCCCCAACTGCACTGGCATGTCAATTGCCAAGAGTTGTTAGCAGTGCACCTTGCCTTGAACCGTCTCAAAGGGTACTTACGAGGCAATCCCGTGCTGGTCCGAACGGACAACACGGCGACTGTTGCATACATCAACCAACAAGGTAGTCTGCGCTCCCGTCGCATGTCGCAACTCACCCGCCCGCCATCTCCTCTTTTGGAGTCAGAAGGTTCTGAGGTCACTTCGTGCCATTCACATTCTGGGTCTGCTCAACCATACGGCTAACGAGCTGTCACGAGCTACACTCCCGGGAGAATGGAGACTCCATCCCCAGTCGGTCCAGCTGTTTTGGAGCTGCTCAGGTAGACGGCAAACAGCCTCTTTTTTTTGCGGCAAACAGCCTCTCCTGAAACCTCTCACTGCCCGTTGTTCTGGACGGGTACCCCAAGAGGTAGGTGACACCATCACTTCGGCGAGAGCACCGTCTATGAGACACACTTACGCCTTGAAGTGGAACCTGTTCGTCAAGTGGTATTCTTCTCATTGGGAAGACCCCCGGATATGCCCGATCGGGGTCGTGCTTTCCTTTTTTGCAGCAAGGGTTGGAGCAAAGGCTGTCTCGCTCCACCCTTAAAGTCTATGTCGCTGCGATTGCTGCTAACCATGGCCCCGTGGAAGGGAAGTCGGTAGGGAAGCATGATCTGGTCATCGGTTTCCTTAGGGGGGCGAGAACGTTAAATCCTCCCCGACCCTCCTCTATACCCTCTTGGGACCTGTCTCTAGTGCTCAAAGCAGTACAGCAGGGCCCATTTGAGCCTTTGCAGTCAGTCGAGCTAAAGTTTCTTTCAATGAAAACTCTGCTCCTGCTTGCACTAGCCTCCATCAAGAGGGTAGGGGACCTGCACGCATTTTCGGTCAACGATTCGTGCATAGAGCTTGGGCCGGCTGACTCCCAGGTAATCCTGAGGCCCCGGCCCCGGCCCCGGCCCCGGCCCCGGCCCCGGCCCCGGCCCCGGCCCCGGCCCCGGCCCCGGCCCCGGCCCCGGCCCCGGCCCCGGCCCCGGCCCCGGCCCCGGCCCCGGCCCCGGCCCCGGCCCCGAGCCCCGCCACTCACGTCCGGTGCTGAATCTCTGATTATACAACCACACAGTGCCAGGGTGAAATCTGGGTGGAGGGTTGCTGCTACAGCCGATACCAGTATCGACATACTTCGCGTTAATATTGCTGAATGTTTTTGGAGCAGGATCAATCGGGCTGATGGGGAAATTTGGGGTGAGATTGGAATTAGAGTCC